TTCGACGACAATCATTCCATACGGGCTGACTTCGTGGTCGTCTCTTCTACTATGACTAGAGATGTTATCCTCAGTGTCAACGCCCTCAAAGACTTAGATGCTATTTGGCTACTCGGTCGGAACCAACTGGTGCTTGGTTCTGAAGCTTCTCACTTAGCTGGACAACTAGGTAGAGGACACCCTCTTCGTCCTCCTTCTGCTGTACTACAACCAGCCCTGGAGTTATGCAACATCGCCATAGACCACTCTAGCACTACTGTCCATCCAGATCTGCACGGTACTGATATCTTACCGGAAGACTTACTCCAAGACCTAATCAATTCGACCAAGCCTAAAGCTAAGAAGTCCACCCCCGTTGCTGCTCATTCCAACGACGAAGACTTGCCGCAAGATACTACTCCCGACTCTTTCACTTGGGAATTGTTACCGTCATCTGATGACGCTTCTCACGGGCGATTCAAGCTTCATATTCCGTGGAAAAGTGATGAGAGACCTACCTCCTCATCTAAAGACCAATGCCTACGTCGAGCCCTGGCTACTGATGCTCGCTTATCTGCTAAACAACGAGGTGATTATCTTGAAGTCGTCTCAAGCCTGTTCAAGAACAACTTTGTCGTCGACGCTGCCTCCGATGTGATACATTTTATCCCTGCTAAGCCGGTCTTTCGAGATCATGCTGCCTCCACCAAGACACGTCTAGTTCTCGACCCCTCCGGAGAGCTCAACCCCTTGTGTCACACTGGTCCCCCGGCTACGGATAACTACATCGGCGGTACGCTCCTGACCAACCTACATCTTAGCCGTGCGTCTCCCTACATTGTCACTGGAGACGTCAGCAAGGCCTTTCATCAGATCGTAATCTTAGAGCTCGACCAAGGCTATTTTGGAATGATCGTCCGCTATGGCAAAGACCACATCTCGGCTAAATGGAGGGTTCTTATCTTCGGCGCCAATTTTGCTCCGTCAGCACTAAATCAGGCCCTTACCTGTTCGGTTGTTCTGGCAGACTACGACTCTGGCTATCTTTCTCGTCAGCAAGCTATGGACCTCGACCCTGTCGTAGCTCAAGTCATCGACACCTACGACAACAACAAGCTCACTGCCTCTGTCCCGGTCACTACAGACTCCCCCGCCCCTCGACTCGGTGGTAGAGTCAGTATTTATGTCGATGATACTCAGTGCCGTGGCGACGACATCGAATCTGTTACTGCTTGTGCTGATGCCTTGGATGCCTCTCTACTCCGAAATGGGTTCGGTACTAATGTCGTCAAGCGAGTACGTTCTTGGTGCATGGAGAATGAAACCTCTTATCTTGGTTACCATTGGGACGATGACTGCTACTTCATCCGCTTCAAAAAGGATGTTTCTATTGCTACTCTCCTAGCTAAAGACAAGCTCACACGCCGTGAGATCTTCAAGCTGGCTATGTCATTCTACGACCCATTGGGGTTGGCCGTAGAGTATTCTGCTTCCTTACGCATGCTAGTACGTCTCAGTTTCCCTACTGCAGACGATTGGGACTCCTTTGTCGACGACAAGTACTCTCACTCTCTGATAGCACTTATCAAGGGTATTATCAGAAATGGCCCTCAGTCGACTCGATCTCCACGTGCTGTGTCATTGAGTACCCTCAACGTCTTCTCTGACGCCAGTGGCGAGGCTTCATCCTTCTGTCTACATGATGCTAACTACGTCAGGATCTATGCTCAGTCCCATCTTTGGACTGTGACTCAGCAAAACTGGACGATGCCCAAGAAAGAGACTATATGTTTCTGTGACGCCGTGGCTGCTACCTACGAGTACCTGTCCCTATTGAAGCGCCTCCATTATAAGTTTGATACTCAGCAAGTCTGCTTCTACTTGGATTCAAGCTGCACTGTCTATCGTGTCCGTCGCCTTCGAGATCAACTTCGACTCAAGGTTATTACTCCTCTTGAAGTTCGACGACTACGGCAAACTCTCGAGCACCTCTCTGAGATCACAGCTATGGGCATAGCTGTAACGGTCAAGCACCTTCCTGGCCGTTACAACCCGGCCGACCGTGGCACTAGGCCCATAACTTCTGGTGACCTGCCTACTCTTCCTATTCCCAGTGAGATTAAGGCCAATATAGAGCTGGCTGATTTCGCCGACGTTAGCGTCAAGATTGCTACCCCTCAACAGTCCTCTGCAACCCCCAAGACTGTTGCTATCTTGCAAGTGGACGAGCATCCCTGTGCCAGAGACCTGGAGAACCAATTCCCACTAGAAACTATACGTCAATTACAACAAGACCATGCTCGTACTTACAATATGATCCACACTCTCACGCATGTCACCACTAATGAAGTCCCGGCCAACCTCCGACTCTACTCGGTCTCCGACGGCATTCTATACTTTCATGGTTGTACCTCTGTGGCTAACTCAAGGTCCGAGAAAGCTCTGCCTGTGCTACCTCCTACTACACCGGCCATCAATTGTCTACGAGACCTTCATGATGCTATGGGCCATCCCCCTGCCAGTGCTACAGTCACTCTATTTCAAACTTTCTACTATCTACCTAAACTAAGAGCTCATCTTCGCCGTATCATTGGTGATTGTGATACCTGTCAACGTAAACGCCGTCGGAATGCCTATAGGTCTCAAGGAGGTGTTGTTCAACCACCTGGCCTTTCTTTCGACGTCGGTAACGTAGTGGTCGTGGACCTTCAAGGTCCTCTGGTGGATCCTTGTGCCCCTGCCTCTGATGCTAAAAACTGGATTCTCACCATCTTAGACCCTGTCAGCTTCTCCGTGGACTACGATGTGCTCAACTATCCTACAACCTCGCTGATCATCAATGCCCTCGAGAGAAACTTTGCTGTCCGTGGCATACCTATGGTTCTAGTTAGCGATGTCGGTTCAACATTCACTTCAGCCCCATTCCTCTACTTTCTACGTTCTTGGAATGTTCGTTCTTGCTGGCTACCACGTGATGCTAGAGGTTATGGTGGTTTCCACGAGAGGTATCATGGCCAACTACTAGAACAAATACGTGCAAGGCTTCTGGACGCTTCTCATCTACCCGACCCTATTCCCCTAAGGACTATCGTTGCCGAGAGTGTCAGTGCCCTAAACCGTCTCCCTCTCTATGATCTAGGCGGTATCTCTGCTCATGAACTACACTACTGTCGTCGCCCTCGCTACCCGATAGGTATCGAGGATTCTGATGAGAACAGCGTGACTCTTGACAAACTTAAAAACTGGCTTCCTTCTCTCTGCATCCTAGATCCCCAACGAGAAGTTCTTCATGACGAGCTCGCAACTATGGCTAATGAAGTTGCTACTAGGAGATGCTCCTCACTACTCAACTTTTGGGATCTGTGGTGTGAACGTTCTGATCGCGTCCGTCAACGCTTTGAGAAGCTACCTCTACCTCGAGCTACTTTACTCCGCTACAAGCCTGGTGATCTGGTATTGAAGTTCCGCCGAGGCAGTCTCAAGCAACAATCCTGCTGGTCTGGTCCCTTTCGAGTAGTCGACAGCTCCGAAAGCAACACTCTGTACCGTCTGGAAACTCTCGATGGCCGCCGTCTAAGATATCTCGAGACCGTCTTCAATTTACGCCGCTATACTCCTCCAGTGGACAACGTCGATTCCTACGCCTACAATCCAGACGAGGCCCCTATCCCTGAAGCTCCTCTACAAGAAGCCGGTAACGACGATGACGACTTGGTCTATCTTAATCTATGACGATGTAGCTACTAATCTATATCTAATCTACACCTCATATCTATTACTTTGCACGTCATTCATTTTGAGTCTAGTCCGTATCCAATAGTAACACCGCAAGGTGTTAGGTTTTACGGTGTGTAGAATGCTGTCCTTCGTGGCGAGCTCTACCATCGGCGAATCTTAGCACAATCTGTCTCCTAAGGCGTGCGAGTATCTATCCGTTTCTGAGTCATTTGAAACCGTCTCTGTCTCCGACAGATTCGAAGTCATAAGAACAAGTTCAGTTCGGCTTTGATCTCCCCCTTTGATTCAAGCCTTTGGAAGCAGCAGCCTTCCATTTCGTCCAAGCCAACTACTATTGCTATAAGCCCTACATCACTTGCGTTGCTAGTGCTTCTCCGTCTCAAGTGCGAGAACATTTGCCACATGGCCAGAGGTCACCCTGCCGCGTGACGCGGACGCCTGAGTCAGCCCACGCACTGAGGTCTCTAGCGACCATTAGGGGGTAGTCGTTTTTTGCCCACCCTCCCGCCCGGGGGAATGCGGGATACGGACTTCGCTCTCTCATTGTCTGTCCCTCTTTCTGAGTGATCCGTTGGTGCGCTCTCCTGCTCATTTTTTGTACGGTCCAAACCCATTCCACAGAACAGGCGAGGGAAAGATAATAGATACAAAGATCAAGTACCTTTCGCCAAAGCTACAAACTCGCATATTTCTCCCTCAGACGGAGAAGCACCAAAACAGCGTAATCTGATCTCCTCCAATCTACGGCATTTGAACAGCCTATGCTCGATATCATCAACTACGTCTACATTCAATCGTTTACACGTGGGACATAAAGGGGATTCGACTCTATCTATTTTGAATAAGTAATCAAAGCACTCAGACCACTTGCCTGCATAAATCTGGTTGCAAGTAGACGGAATATATGATATATTATATATCTCAATGATACGGGTTTATTGAGCTCGAGCACCGATATGTCTTCAGGGCCAGAAGTTCTGGCAAGTGCAGAATCGGAGCTCGTACCCTATCTCTATTAGTATAGGATTTAACCGCTGATACGGGTAGTGAGCACAACGATTGATCCATCTTAGTCCCCTCTTGAGCTAGCGAGTCAACAAAATCATTCCGAGATAGATCACAATGTGAACTTATCCACAGAAGTTCACAGGAAATGACATACAAAGATAGTCTATATAGGGATTCCCATGTAGGAATGAGATCGGAGGACATACTATAGGGATCACCTTTCAAAGCACAGAATAAGGATAATGAATCACAAATACAATTAAAACCGTATGATCAGGCTCAACTATGTGTGAAGAGATGAACCC